GTGTGTGTGTGTGTGTGTGTGTGTGCGCGTGCGTGCGTGCGTGTTTGTGTGACACGGGGACCGTGGGAGGGGGGGAGCAAGCAATAATATCCTCGGGGTTTTTTTCTCCATTATATTACAGTAACTGGGAAACACACCAATAACATCTTAGTTTTAGAAGATGTTTTACGGCGTTCGCAACTGCATAAATATGGTCATATGAGCGCCAAGGGGTGGATGTCAACAGAGAAGTCCGAACAGGGAAACAGGTTTTCTCTGCTCCCCTCTCTAGTTTCAACAGCACGAAGTCTGATTCGACTATCAAGGCACCCCGGAAATAGCTGGTCACAAGAGAGTGACAAACATACAAAAGAAGTAGAGGAATAATGATGATAATAAGGATTAGAAAAGAAAAAGCAGCAGTTCCCTATCGCAGTTCAGTCACAGTTATGAGCATGACATTGATGAATGAGCCCATTTACAATTATAGTTCTACTGTGCATAAGAACACGATAAATGTCCCCCCTTTGGGAATGGCCTAAAGACGCTTCAGTCAGTAGCACCACCCTGGAGGGTAACACAATGGCATAGCATCTTTAATCTTTCCACGGCCATGCTAGACCCTGTGCTATAGCGTTGGTTGCCCCGTTACCGTTATGAAAGTTGTATCAGAAACTTCGTGCTTTATCTTCGTATAGTAGAGTGTCGTGGTCGGAGGTCTCGGTGTAATAATAATGATGATGATAATAATAATAATGATAATAATAATAATAATAATAATTATAATAATAATAATAATAATAATAATAATAACATTTTGTATAGCTCAAGTTCCTGCTCAACAGCAGTAAGCTCTATGCGCTTTACAATCTATATTGATACCCCAGTAGACCTGATAGCGCGATCTAAAATAATCTCAACTTCCCAGGAAGCATACAGTGCATGCTGCCATTTTACAGGCACCAAAACACTAATATACTGACAAGATATTTCGCTTTCTATGGCCGGGTACCCATTCACACCTTGGGAATCCCGTCAGGGACCCGACGTTGTGTCCTTGGGAAAGGCACTTTACACGAATTTTCCTCACTTCACCCAGGTGGGAATGGGTACCCAGCTATAGACAGCGAAAGATCTTGTCAGTTTGTTAGTGTTCGAGCGCTTAATCGGCTGCTTGCACTGTATGCTTCCCGGGAAGCTGAGAATGTTTCTGAGTGTTCTATGGTCTGCTGGGTTAATAATATAGTGTAAAGCGCATAGAGCCTGCTGTTGAGCGGGGATATGCGCTATACAAATGCTATTGA